GAAGCAAACATTAAAATGAAGGAGAAAAAGCTTATACATCTCAAATGACTATGATAATAATAGGCATTCATGTAGAGTGTTAATTAGTACTTAAAGAATCTTGGGGCCAGCAGGTGGCATGGTGGTTAAGGGCTCTGGACTCCCACATGGCTGACTGCAAGTTGAGTTCTGCACCTGGTGGCTTGCTTTTTCACTTTCCCTCTCTCCTTCTCTCTCATTCTGTCCCTGTTTGCTCAAATTAAGAAAGAAAAATAATAATTTTTTGAGAGGTTTTTGCTCTATGGCACGTGCACTTGCCAGAAAGAGAGAGACAGAGATAGAAAAAGTGAGAAATCACCCCCCAGGGGGAATGGCCATGCCACAATCCCTTCTCCTCCATTCTCCTCTTGGGATCTTGGGCACAGACACAGACACACACACACACACACACACGTGCCTGGGGTGAGTTTAAGCCACTGGGTCTGAGACTTGAACCGTGGTCAACTACATGGGAGTCCAGTGACATAGCCATTATGCCAACTGCTGGTCCCAGGAAATAATTATTTAAAAAAAAAATCTTGATTAAAGTATGTGGAATTTCAGTGTACTATTCTTGTCTGCTTATTAGTTTGAAAATTTTCCAAAATAAAAAGTTATCCAAAAAACAAAACCCCCAAACAAAAAATTCCCTTAATGACTATTAATCTTTTTTAGAGATCAAAGATGAAAGATACCTTTGTATGACTATCCCCCATTTTTCTCTTCTTTCTTCCTTGATGCCCAGCATAAATTGTGCTTTAGTAAAGTCTGAGTTTGACAAGACAGTGACCCGTGTCAGCATATTCAGTAAGGAAAGGCCTTGGCACGGATCATCCCGCAGCTTTGTTCATTTGCCGCTGTCTTCACATCTGTGTTGTCCAGTTCATTTTTCTCAAGTTTCTTTTTCATCAGAAGTTCAAATTTGGGTTAATTACCCCACATACACATAATCTTGTGTAAAATCTTTCCATTTCTCAAAACTGTTGAGTTATGACCCTAATTAACTGTGCTATTGTACTCTGACACTAAGTTTAATGCTGTCAGAGTAGGAGAAGTTACCAAAAAAAGAAGAGGTACTAGTCATAAGAATGTCACTGACACCTGACCCGGGACTGGCATGTAACTACTCTGTGACTATTTCTTGAACTAATAGTGAGGGAGTCAGTTATTAATTACTACCACCTACCAAGTCTTAGACTAAGGCCTAATGTGCTTTGTCTCATGACTCCTCACAAGAGCTTCATGTGAATATAGGTTCTGTTATTCCCCTTCTTTTACAAATGGGGCAACTGAAGCTTAGAGTGTAAGGAGGTGGCTGAGCCAGGATTCTGATAGGGTCTTTCTGTTTTAGTCACCGTCCTTATCTGATTTTAGTCACTACCTTTATAGTGTTTATAAGAGCTCTTCTACCTATAGAATTTTTTTTTTTATTGTTTTGACTGTCCATAAGAAAGATAGTGTTTTGTTTTTTTTGGGAAAGCAGATTGATTTTAAAGAGAACTCACATTTTCTTTCTTTTTTAAAAAAATTAATATTATGTTATTCAATGTAATAGTCACTAGAGACATGTAGCTATTTACTTTTAATGTAAATTACCTAAGATTAAAAATTCATCCCCTCAGTTTGTCACCCACATTCCCAGTGCTCAGCAGTCACATGCAGTAAGTGGCTCCTGTATTGAGCAGCACAGATAAGAGGTTCCTGCCATCACAGGAAGTTCTGTTGGGTACAGTTAAAAAGATTCTAGAGTGTTCAGTTGAAGCTCTTGAAAGTAGCACTAGTTAAAACTGATCTTAGAAAATAGATTCCATGACTACCCCAGCTCTAAAGTAGTAATACTCTATTTTTTATGTGTTTTTTTTTTAAAGTTATTTCTTTCTTTTATGTATTGAGAGACAGAGAAACAGGTACCTCAAATAGGGCTCGCATGCCACGATTCATCTTCAGCCTCAGCTGTCCTGGATCGTGGTCACATCATATGCACCTGAAGGTCTCTCACACACTCTTCCATGCGGGTCAGCCTCACAGACCATTGTGTTACCACCGTGCCACTGTCTAGCCTCATATTTTTCTGAGTTTCAGCAACTAATTTAAAGTTACTTATCTATAATAGCTTTCTATTATCTAAAAGTTATTATAATGTTTGTAGGTAATGCAAAATAGTAAGTAGTGATGAAGATAAGAGAGAGACATAAGGCAAATGATTATGTTTAATTAGAAAGTATTTATTTTACTTTGTTCACTAATATCACAATAGTGTCAAAGGCACAGAGGAGAAAAATACAGTTTTTAAAGTGTAATTTTTATTATAAAACATTTGAAACATGAAGTACACATTTTTAAATGATAAAAAAGGAGTTGGGTACATTTTTCACTCTAGTTCCATAAAGGAATTTTTAAGTGAAACATTTAATCACCTGATTATTGTAGAATTAAAAAAAAAAGTCCAGGCTATAAGTTTTCCTGGACCCCTGTCATACTATGGTCATTACCCAAGTCAGAAAGCACAGACCCTGGCAAGAACGTCATCTTTGTAAGCTCACATTGCTCATCTGTCCCCTGAAGGAGGTGGACTAACCACTCTGAGGTCATCCCTAGTATTTACTTTCTATGATGATTCATAGTCTGGGTTTGAGGGTAGGGATCCACTCCCTGAGACTGTGGCCATTTTTGTGCATTGGAATAGATATTGAATGGGAAGACTTACATTTAAAAAAAAAAATCTCTATTTAGTTTAAGTTATATAACTTTTTTTTTTTTAATTTGCCTTATTGGGCCAGCAGGTGGTATGGTGGTTAAGGTGCTGGATCCTACATGATTGACTCTGTCAATTGAGTTCCAGACCCAGGGGGAACGTGTGGCACACCTATGTGGGTGTCCAAAATCCTGAGAAGAGAATGGAAGAGAAGGGATTGTGGCATGGCTATCCAACCTGGGGGGTGATTTCTCACTTCCCCTCTTCCTCTTTCTCTCTTTCTTTCTCTTTCTGGCAAGCACACACACCAGATGGCCAAGGAAAAAAAAATCTTAAAGAAAAAAAAGCCTTATTTTCTTAGTTGAACAAAAGAAAAAGAATAAGGATTATTAAGCCTGAGAAAGAGAAGGCCTAAGGCTTGACTTAGAACTTGTTTCCTAAACATATCATAAGGAATTATCTCCCATCCTCACAGATGCTCTTATTTTTTTCAGTGAAGGAAATGCTTTTCTGAGGTCCGTCTTGCCCCTGCCACCAGGGTCTGTCTCCTTAAGGGCATGGATGTATACTTTGTTAAATATTTTTGCCTCAGTGCCGACACGGAAACAGGGTGTAATAAAGCATTCGGTTAATACTAGCTGAATGAAAGAAACTTCATCATGTAGAAAGAATTCCTTGGGACACAGGCATACTGGGAAGCTTTATACCCTCTGCAGATGCCTGTTGGTGCACCCAGCCCTCCTTTGTCGCTCCCCTGAGAGAGAGGCACCAGTCAGGCGAAGCACGATTGCCTCTTCGCTTTGGTTTTTGCTGCCAGGAGAGAATTGCATTATCCGGATAACGTGTTGTATATTGAGGACACTTAAAGATATTTTGATCAATGGGTCTGGGGAAAAATGTGCACATATCGAAATGGTCTCATTGTAAGTCAAACAATATTATTGAAAGTATATACAAAAAACAAATAATAATGTGGGGAAAAAAAAGAAAAATAAACCTGTTTAGTAAAATAATAGAAGGCATCATAAGTACATATTATCAAAAATAGATGTTCAAACAGTAGTTTCTGTTTGAAACATGCTACACGGACTTCTCAACAAAATTGACTTTCCTGTTAAATGATTGGTGTTTGTTGGAGAGCCATTACTTTGACTTTTTATTTGGATTCAAGAAGAGCCTTAGAATCTTTCTGGACACTTTATTAATGTACATATTTACACACACGTTTGATATTTGTATCATGTATCTTATGTACTATTTTATATTTTTGTAGATGTGATGTATGACGTTTTAGAAATACAAGATGCTGTGTTTTAGAAATATGGTTTATTGGGACCAGCAGGTGGTGTGGTGGTTAAGCCAATGGACACTCCCACATGGCCAGCCAGGATTCGAGTCCCAGACCTGGTGGCTTACTTACTCTCTTCTTACTCTTCTCTCTCTCTCTCTGTCTCTCTGTGTGTGTGTGTGTGTGTGTGTGTGTGTGCATGTGTGTGTGTTTCTCACTGGTCAAATTAAAAAAAATAAGTGAATGAATAAATAAAATTAAATTACTTTTAAAAAGAAATATGGTTTATTGTATTTCATCTTTCTTTTTTTCCTTTGAAGAACCATTTTATTTAACTTTCTTTTTTCTTTCTTTCTTTTTTCTTTCCTTCCCTTTCCTTTTCTTTTCTCTTTTCTCTTGCTTTTTGACCAAAGAGGGGGACAGAGAAGGTGGGGGGAGTGAGAAAGCAAGCTGCACCCTTAACCACTTTGGTACCTGCTGGCCCTTTTTTCTTTTGTTTTCTTCTTTTTTGAAGAGATATTTTTGCTATAGGGCACGTGTACTTGCTGGAGAGACACAGAGACTGAAAACAAGAAATCACCCCCTGGGGGAATGGCCATGCCACAGTCCTTTCTCCTCCACTCTCGTCTTGGGAATTTGGGCATGCATGTATATACACCTGCCATGAGATTTTTTAAGTTGCTGGATCTGGGACTCGAACCACAGTCAACTACATGGGAGTTCAGTGACATAACCATTATGCCACCTGCTGGTCCCACATCTTGTCTTTCTAGAGTGTACATTTCTGAGCTATGAACTCGGCCTTGTTCACCACTATGTTTTTGGATCTAGAAATGTGGCTGGTATGGAAAAGGCACTCAGTAAACAGTGTTAAAAAGCAAATGCTTTTTAACAAAAGGCCTACAGAGGCCTAATTTTCTAAGTCACTTGGTATTCTAGTTGTAAATTTTTAGTCATTGAAAAATTAGATCTTATTTTTACTTTCTTTTATTTTTTCAGGAAGAATCCTCAGCACAAGATAGAATTTAAACACAGTACACTTCCAGGTAGGTGATTTTACTTCAGGAAAGTCAAAATGAAATCTTTGAATGATTCTTTTAGTAAATCTAGATACAGTTTCTAGTCATTAGGAGCTTTTTTAAAAATCTCTGCTTCTGTGAATTTGTTGAGTTGCTGATTCTAGTGATTTTTCTTAGGTAAGAAAAATTGTAAACCATTTACATAGCAAATGTTTTCCCCAATCATTGTGCAACAATATATAATTATCCTTAATCTCTTAGTATTCTTCTGTTTGTGGGTACCTGAAAACAAAATCTCTAACTGGACTACATAATAATGGGAACTTATTGACTCTGTTATTGAAAAGTTCAGAGATAGAGCTAGATTTAGACGAGATTTATTGCTTTGGCTCATTATTAATATCAGTATTGTCTCCAAGGACCTGGTTTCTTCCTATCACTCCGTCTCGGGTTGCTGCCATGGAAGGCTGGCTTCTTCCCCAGCGGAGGAGCTCTGTGCCTCCTTATTCAGCTGAGGCAGTAAGCACCATGTTTACGTCTGAGGAGGAAGAGAGAGAAAAACCAAGTTTCACTGCCATGATTCCCAGGAAAAATCATGAAACTAGCCCTTTTTACGGGCACAGATCATATTCTTACTCTCGGACCAGTCACTGGTCACTGATTAGTTTGTCCCACTCTTGAAGCTAGGGTAGTCATCATCTTCAGAACTACAAATGTCCCCAGTAGAAACCAAAGCTTTGGGATGTGGTCTGTATACACAATGGAATGCCATTTAGCGCTACCTGCGATCTGTGTTTGCCCTTACAAATGGAGTTTATCCTCACAAATTGGTGTTCTAATTTTTTTTGCCAAGAACCTAATTAAATAACTGATCATATAGAACAAAAAAGAAAAGGAAGAATTCCTGTCATTGGCAGAAAAATGCATGAGCCTGGAGGAAATAACTGAAGTGAAATGAGCCAGGCACTGAGAGACCGACAGACACTGCGTTCTCACTCATTAGCAGAAGCCAGATGGTTTGATTGCACAGAGATCAAGGGTTTAGGAGTGGATGACCAATTTGGGGGGGTGGGCTGAGGGAAGGGGTGAACTTGCTAACAGATACAAAAGGACTGGGTTCTAGACTACTATAGCACAGTAAAGATACTTGTTAATAATTCAGTGTATATTTCAAAATAACTAAAGAGTGAATTTTGAATGTGTACAACACGAAGTAATGATAAATGTTGGAGATGAGAGCTATGCTTATTGCCCTGGTTTGATCACTATACAGTATATATGTGTTTTTTCGAGAGAATTTTTTATTATAGGTCACATGCGTTCACTGGAGAGAGAGAGAGAAAGAGAAAGAGAAAGACAGACAAAAAGTGAGAAATCCTCCCCTCCCCCTCCGGGGAGATGGCCACACTGCAATCCCTTCTCCTCCATTTTCCTCTCGGGATTTTGGGCACACACGTACACACGGCTGGCATAAGTTTTAAGTCACTGGGTCCAGGACTCAAACTGCAGTTGACCATGTGGGAGTTCAGCGCCATAACCATTACACCTCTGCTGATACAATTTGTATATGTGTTTTGGATAACTGCTCTGTGTGCCCCACAGATTTGTACAGCTATTAGATATAAATTAGAAATTACGATAAAAGTAGGAAGTGTAACTTTGGGAAGCAAGGAGGGGTGGATAGACACCTGAGAAACTATCATCAGATTCCTATCTATCCTAATTTACATAGATCCATTTTTACCTTTTGTTTACCCTTCCGAATGCTAATATCCTTTTCCCTTTAACAAATTCTGGCTTCTTTGTAGCATTTATTTATTACTGCAAAGACCAATTTGGCAAATGGTATTTCTGCCGGCTGAGTGAAAGAATACAATGCATACTGTCAAGGCGGTGCTCACATGAACTGACATATGCATACACACAACTGGCTTGTAACAAAGGGAGAGAAATAATTACACTATAAGACAAGTTCATTCTATTTCTCTTTTTTTAAAGTTTATGTATTTTTTTTTTTTTGGAGAGGTTTTTGCTATAGGGTGTGTGCGCTCGCCAGAAAGACAGAGAGACAGAAAACGAGAAATCACCCCCAGTGGGGATGGCCATGCTGCAATCCTTTCTCCTCTATTCTCCTCTCGGGATCTTGGGCACGCACATACATGTGCCCAGTGTGAGTTGAAGCCACCGGGTCCAGGATTCGAACCACAGTCGGTTACATGGGAGTCCAGTGGCATAACCATTACACCAACTGCTGGTCCCAAGTTTATGTATTTCTTGATGAGGGTTACCCTCATCAAGAGTATGGTGTTTGTGCCATACTCTACCCCCATCCTCAGAAAACCTGGATTACAAGCACTGTGTGTGCACCCATGCTCAACATGTACAGGGATGCAAACTTGGGACCTTCTTGTGGGCTCAGCTTAAACTGTGTTCCCACTGTAATATCAGCTGGCCCCTCCACTTAATTTCTTATTGTAACATACTTTAGTATTTTAGTATGTCAGACATAAATATATTCTCTTTGTCTAAGCTAATACAGCATGGAGGTGATTTGTTACGTGTTATACTTTCTTCACTGGGGCTGTATTTAATGATACAGCATTTGTTGGTGGCTAAAGTAGCTTCCTCTCTAGCAACAATATAATGATATTAATTGAAACTATTTTATTGCTAAATTATGGCATTGGTCCATCAAAGGGACACATTGTGTATCTTTAGAGAATTAGGAATTGTTTACTTAAAAACTATTATTATTCATCATATCACATGGTTTTAAATATCTGAGTTTTCCTTGAAAAATCTCTTGGAGTTATCATTGAAGTATTTTCTGAAGGAAAAACATATTTTAGGGTCCAGCAGTTGGCATAATGACTATGTTGCTGGACTCCCATGTAGTTGACTATGGTTCGAGTCCTGGACCCAGCAGCTTAAACTCATACCAGGTGCGTGTGCGTGCATGCCCAAGATCCTGAGAGGAGAGTGGAGGAGAAGGGATTGCATCATGGCCGTCACCCAGGGAGGTGATTTCTCGCTTTCTGTCTCTCTGTCTCTCTCTCTGTCTTTCTGGCAAGCACATGTGTCCTATTGCAAAAACCTTTCCCTCCCCCCAAAAAAGAAAGAAAAACATGTTTTAGAATAATTTACTTAAGAAAAATATTTTATGTCATTGTAAAGTTTTTTTTAAGTATACATATTTTTAAGTAACTGTCGCTTCACATATATATATACACATACTTTCAAGAGTATATACGTAACAGCATAGTCAGAATCTCTCTCTCTAAATTCTATAAATAGAGAGTTTGGAGTAATTAATAAATGTTGACATCTCATTATATTTTTTGGTTGACTACATGGGAGTCCAGCAATGTAACCCTTATGCCATCTGCTAGTTCCACTTTACACAGTATTCTAATACATTTATTTTTCTAATCTCTCAACTATTTGGAGCTTGTTATTACCCAAGATCTTTATCTTTTTTTGTATTGGTTCATTTACTCACACACTCATTTCTTTATTAATGTCTTCCACAAGAGCAAGGTCATATAGTATGAGAAGTAGTTCTGGCTGTACCTGCTTATGGTGAGATGCCCTCAAATCCCAGAGGAAGGTGAAGGAGCACTTTCTAAGGAGCTTACTTGAGTAGACTTGATGTGAGCAATTTAAGTTGGCCTTTAAGGTAGTAGGACTTGGGTCATCTTTGTTTGTTTCTTATAAGATCTTTGTGCTGGATGAATTCAGGGCATCCCAGACCAGGTGAATAACAGGCTGATCAAGATCACTGGAGAAGAAATGTGTCTGGAATTACTGAGTGGATCAGTGTAACGTTGTGGACAGGCCACAGTTACTGTGAGGGATGCTAACGGTGGAGTGCGGCCAGATTATGGCAACTTTTAAAGGTCACACCAAAGATATGAGCACTTTAGCAAAGGGTGGTAAACCATTATTTTACTGACATCCAGGTGGTGATGAAGAGGTGTCTGAATTAGAACTGGAGAAACTTTCTAGAGCTGGTTAAGTACTTAGATGAGGGGCTAAAACTAGGGTGGCCTCCATGGGAGTGGAAAGGTAGGGGGTACAAGAGAGGTTTTGAAGGGAAAGTCAGTGGGGCTTGCCAACTGACACGCTGTGGTTCGGGGGCTGGGAGGAGGTAAGGGAAGGGAAATAGCTCACAAAGTACAGATCGTTGGCGGATGGAGATGCCACTACACGTAAGAGATCTGGAGGAGCCTAGGTAGGTTTTCATTTTATGGTGTTAAAATGTAAACATACTGAATTTGAGGAGAGGTAACAAGACATAAACTACAATATAGTACCAATATTAAAATAACTACATTAAACTCTTACTCTTTAACTTCTAGATGTGTAACACTCCTAGAACACTTCAGTTCATACAATCTGTAAAGTATCAGTGTAGTCAGTACTAACTGTTCTTTGTAGGTTTGACTTCTGTCTTCCGTTAAGTTACTTCTTTAACTAATTGGTTTAAAATTCACTAACTTTCCACATTTTTTCGGAGTGCTACAGTTTGGGCACAAGATCGCAAATGTAAGGTTACTCATGCCAGGAAAATTCTGTTTTATACTTGCCTAGCTACCTTCCATGTTCACAGCATTTGCAAGAAATTATCATCAACATTTTGCCATCTGATGATTGGGGTCGTTCTTTCCAGTCCCCAATATTATGTGGTATGCATTATCCTAGGCAACTGGTACTGCTCATGGCTGGAAATTGATAACCTTGCACTGCTAGCAACTTTCATATTTCCGTAGTTCTGCAATGGTATACATTCATGCCTTTATATGTACCTACCCTCCCATCCCCTGAAGAAGTTGAAACTGAAAATTCTAGAAACTAATGAGGAAGGTTATTGGGCCATCAGTGAGATTCTGTAAGCTGCTACGTAGTTTAGGGAAAGCTGAGAGACTGTGAAATAAGAGAAAGCGTGGTATGCTAGTATTTAACAAAGAAATAAACTTCATGTATAGTAAAGTAGGCCATAGCATACACACTGCTTTCCCAAAATATGAAGACCCCTAGTATTTTGGTGCATTTAAAAAAATTAGTCTTTAGTACTAAAGTAAAATATTATTAAACATATTCTTGTATTTAGTAAAATTTCATCTTTGGAGACACCCCCTTTTTTGTTGTTATTGTTGTTGTTGAGGTTTTTGCACATGAAACGTAGGCTCACACGAGAGAGACAGTGAGAAATCACCCCCCAGGGAGATGCCCATGCTGCAATCCCTTTCCTCCATTCCCTCCTGGGGTTTTGGGTATGCATGCACACACATCTGCATGATTTCAAATCGCCAGGTCTGGGACTTGAAGTGCAGCTGTACTGTAGGGAGGGACAGTAATAACTAGGGCAGAAATGCAGTCTACCACACGTGAAGGCAGTATGGCAGCAGTGTGATCGTGATGTTATTAAGGAACTAGCGTTATGAGTCACATGGGCCGGTTTAGTCTCAGGAGGAAGATGGTAGGAGAAGTTGGAATAATAAACTACAAGTGGTAGTTTAGTGCTTTTTCTACAAATTTCTGGTGGTAAACTGTGTACTTATAAAATTGATCTTTCTTGATACACAGACATTTTACAGTGAGATGTCTGTAGTCCCAGGTCTGAGTGATGACTGATGTGTTGTGTACCGATTCTCTGTTGTTCAGTGAGAGATGCTTTGGATGAAGATGACGATGTTGGACAGCCCAGTGAGTATGACCTGAATGACAGCTTTCTAGATGACGAAGAAGAAGAGTATGAGCCAACGGATGAGGACTCTGACTGGGAACCAGGGAAGGAAGAACAAGAGAAGGAAGATGTAGAAGAGCTTTTGAAAGAAGCAAAAAAGTTTATGAAAAGAAAAAAGTAACTCTTGTCTACAGTAGTATGTGGTTCACAGTTACTTTGTCTTTATAGGAAAATAATCAGGAACTAAGAACATACTTAAGCAATAGCTGTTTTCCTTCTTTTGATAGTTATGACTCTTTCTATTAACTCTTTGTAAATGAGACATTGAGATGTCAGCCCTCAATGTAGTAGAGAAAATTTATTTGTTACTTTGCCATTTTTCTTCTCCCCTATTTAAAGCATCTGGAAATAGGAAGCACACAGAAGCAAAGAGTAATAATAGATAGTTTTATGTATTTCTTCTATTGCTAATAAAAAGTTAAAGTCACAGGTTGCATAAAACTTTGCTCATTTCTCATTTTTTCAAAGATTCTGTGGAGGACTAATCAAGACGAACCACACAAACTAGAACAAGTGTAGGACAGCATGCCTCTTCCATTTTTTGTTTTTTGTTGTTTTTGTTTTTGTTTTTTTTTTTTGGAGAGATTTTCACTGTAGGGCGCGAGCGCTCGCCAGACAGACAGAGACATAGAGACAGAAAGCGAGAAATCACCCCCCAGGGGGGATGGTCATGCCGCAATCCCTTCTCCTCCATTCTCCTCTCGGGATCTTGGGCACGCACACACACGCGCCCGGCATGAGTTTTAAGCCACCGGGTCCGGGACGTGAACCGCGGTCGACTACGTGGGAGTCCAGTGACATAGCCATTTCGCTAACTGCTGATTCCCAACCTCTTCCATTTTCATTGAGGTAATTCTTCAACAGAACCATGCTTTCAAAAATGAGTCATAACACACCAGCTGCTGTGCTAGCACTCTCGATGTGAACTTTGTGATTACACTTACTACTGTCCTTTGAAACTTGGAAAATCAATTCCAAATGGATACTGAAAATAGATTCAACTAGGCTGTAACAGAGATTAGTTTACCATACAGGGAATATTATTTTGTGTCCCATGTTTGTAATTTACTGTTGGTTGGAGTTTAAAGGCAGAAAACTCAAAGAATTGGGTCCTTTTCATACTAAAGTCCTATCTGACTGTTTTAATTAGAAAAAAAATATTTCTTTAGTTAAAGCAATCAGGTAGCATTATTTTGCATACCTGATTAATTTAATTTTAATTCTGTGTTCTGTCCTTATATTCACAGTATGGAAATTATAGCCATAATTTTCTCAAGTGACATTAGTCCTCTTGATCACAGATGAAAGTAGCAAGTTTGCCAGTATTTGAGATTCTAGCCTCCTATATCCAGAAGAAACCTCTTAATCTCCAGTATTATGACGTGTATCTCTATATTTGTTCTCAAACCACTTTGGGCCATGTAATAGGGGACTTAGGATTTTCACAGTATAGTTTAGAGCCTGAAATAACAATTGGTTCTATAGTCACAGACACGAGGTATATTATTGAAGTCATAAATCTCTATGCCAAAATATTTTTATTGAACACTAATATTTTCTACTCTAAAGGAATCTAAAAATCTGTATCTTAAAAGAGCAAGACATACTTATTTTGTATTTTCTTAGGGTTCTAAAATATCTTTCCAGGTAACTGCACAATATTAAAATTTAGTCAAATTGAAGCCAGAACAGGATAAATAAATTTTCTAGACTATTACCTGTTACTCAGATTTTGTCTCTATTATTATCTGGGAACTCATTCTCTCCTTCTAACATCTGTTTGGTTTGGAGACGTTGATAACCCTGTGAATAAATCTTTGAACTTAGGCCCATCCTTACATTGACTTACTCCTTAGAGAGGTAAATACCTAAAAGAATTGAAAACTCGTGCCCATAAAAACTGTACAGATAGAAGCATTATTCTTAGTAGACAAACACCTAAATGACTATCAACCGGTGAGTGGATAAAGAAAATGTGGCCTATCTGGCAATAGGATTCTGCTTAGCCAACAAAGAAATGAAGTGTTACTGATGGACGCTACAACACGGTGAGCCCTGGACACATTACAGTGGGTGAGAGAAGCTGAACACCGAAGGTCATATTATGAAATGCCTTAGATAGGCGCTAAGGGGTAGATAATGGTTGTCCCCTAGTGGTTCCTGCTTTGGAATTTGGTCCCCAGTGTAGTGCACTGGGAGGTCATGATACGTTTCGAAGGTGGGATCTAGAGAGCAGTGTTTGAATCACAGTGGCTTCACTCATGAAGGGGCTTCGTGCCTTCTTGCAAGACAGAAGGAGTTAGAGTTCCAGTGAGCAGGGATTAGTTCCTCTGAAAGTGGGCACTTACAAGAGGAAGGCGACTTTCTCCAGGAGTCTCCACACGTGCCTTCCAGCCTCTGCTTCTGTTGGCCACGCTTTGTAGCATCAGAGGCTAACCTGAAACCATATGTTTAGACTTTCCAGCCATCAGGATATCTATCTATTTATATCTATATCTGTATCTATGTCTATCTATATCTATCTATTTTTTTAATAAATTGCCCAGTCATAGGTATTTCTGTTGTTAAGACAACAGGCAAATCCTTAGAAAGTAGATTAATGGTTGCCAGGGGCCTGGGGGAAGAAGGAAAAGGAGAGTCTGCTAATGAGTTTAAGGTTTCTTTTTAAGTGATACAAATATTCTAAAATGAGTGATGATAATTACAGAACTCTAAATACACTAAAAGGCAGTGAGTTATATGCTTTCAGAGCATATAATTTTATGTGAATTTTATATATCAACGCCATCATAAAAAAATGAAGGCAAAGAGTAACTAGTCTTTTAGGAAAAAAGAAAAGGCCTCATGGGGACCTGGGCTCAATTCCTGGCCTCCTTGACGCTGGTGCAGTGGTGCACACCTGAGTCCTAGCTGTTTGGGAGGCTAAGGCGGGAGAATTGCAACGTGGTGGGAGCCTGTCTTTAAAAAGAAAAAGAAAACAACGACCACAAAAAACCTGCCTAATCCCATGTTGAAGGAAGCCCTTTTAAGTGAAACACATTCCTCAGTCTATAAAGAGAAAATGACATGTATCACTCATAGTAATTAAGAAACTTTTGCCTTAGTAAAGCAACAGACTGGGAGAAAACATGTCCAGCACGTGTAATATAAACATTCAACATGGGCTGACCAGTGGTGTGGTGGCTGGATCCCACATGGCTTACTGCATGGCTTGTGTCCCCAACCTGGTGGCTTGTGAAACATGCTGGGTGGGTGGGTATATGTGTGCTCAAATACCCAAAAGGAGAAATGGAGGAAAAGGAATTGTAGCATGACCATTCCCTGTGGTTGTGGTGGTGGTGATAGGTGGGAGTGTTTCTCATTTTCTTTGGTGGACTCTGGCATCCTCTGGCAGATTGAAACAAAACAGAACACAACAAAACAAAAAAGCTACATAGTAAAATAAATATGGGCAAGTAGACAAGAGACATGAACAATTCATAGAAGATCAATACTTTGCCAGCGTGCATGTGAAAACATATTCAGCCACTTTAATAATAATGATATAGTTCTTAACCATCAAGCTTTCAAATCTAACATTTATAATTGTTAATCATAACAGAGAAATGTTCATTGGTTAGGTCTTTCTAGAAGGCACTTATCCATAGTTATCAATATGTCAAGTGTGTACTCTGAGACCAGAGTGGTGTGGTAGTTAAGGCACTGGACTCCCATGTGGCTAATCATAGTTCAAGTCCTGGACCTGGCAGCTCAAAAATCATGCCGGGCATGTGTACATGATTTGTCACTTTCCTTCTCTTTTTCTCCAGCCAGTGCATGCACCCTATGGCAAACCTGAAAATAAATATAAATAAATAAATAAATAAATAAATAAATAAATAAATAAAAGTGTATGCCCTTTGACTCCATTGTTCCTATTTTTGGAAACGTCCTACAGAAACATTGTGTCCCATGATAAAGATGAGGAGAATCTTCACTCAACCCATCGTCACACCAAAGGTATCCACACTTGGTTGTTTTGAAGTTTCCTTGGTGGAGACCAATGGGGAGGCAGCTTCTCTTCATGATTCCCTTCCCTGAGATGCATAGGAGAGAGCCTCCAGGGGTCATGTCCAGGTAATCCTCGATCCCAGCCAGGCCCACAGATGCTTTTTCTGGGAGTTTGGACAGAATGAGGACAGAGTCAAGGAGCGGGAGGGCCATATGTGACAATGTGGCACCTACAGAGCAGGTGCCTGGCCCCCACTGCTGAGGCTTCAGACTGCCTCCCCTTCCTTTGATCAGACTACCCCAGGATCTTCCTATTTACTTTTAGCTAGCTGGAAAGGATGTCTGTTGCATACAGCAAATAGAAAAATGAAAAACTTTTCATTATTACTTTAAAGTGTAAATTAGAACTAATCAACACTCCAGCTGTCATTTAGTGAAGGAAATATTAGACATTAATTGTTATGATTTTTTTCTGTTATTTCTCTAAACATCAGTTAATTAAGGATGCAGACTCCAGTAGAAATGTGTCAAAGTGAATGTTTGTCTCATAACTCTGACAGAACACTGTAACACGAAGTTCTGGCGTTTGGCTGAGGAATGAGTCTTAGAATCTGTATAGGTGCTTTGGCAATACTTCCTGAGCTGAAATACGTTAGGGACTTCCCAGAGGAAAAGAATTCAGATCTTCAACCCAATGTGCAAAGGGCTGCACCAACATGCATCAGCTTATTACTAGAGACTTAAGTACAGCTTTGAACGTCAGCAGCTGGAGGGGAAGTTTTAGGTTAAACATGCATGAAGGTAAAGAAGCAAGTCCAAAGCTGGGAGGCAGAGCAATGGCCACTCAGGTTACACCAGCCAGCAGGTTGTGAGGCTCCTCAGCCTTTCTTCAAGGTTGTAAAACAGCCCAGGCCCTCCCCAAGCTGGGCCTTCCTGGGGACAGGAGACACGGTCCTCCTCTGCCCACCACTTCCTACATCAGCTGCAACCAGGAGACAGCATCAAAGACAAGGCTGAAAGTGACTCTGTAGGGGAGCCATCCCAAACACAGACTTAGGGGGAGGGATGGAATTCGACCTTTGTCCTGATCAGTGGGGTTGGGGTGTAAACTAAATACTCAGGAGCCTCATATCTTTGTGGGAGGCCTAGGATCTCTCCTGCTCTGTCATTCTCTAAGTCACTGAAAGGCTCCTGATGCTGTGAAGGAAGGACAGCAAAGAACTGGGGGACTTGGGAGCTCTGGACCTTGGGAGACGGCTCAGCCTGTTGGATTTTGGCTCAATTTTGGCAGAGAGCTTTAGATGAGCTCCAAGAAGGAGCTCAATTCTTTTTAAAAATTATTTAATTCTATTTATTAAATTTCACCAGGGGGTGGGGGAGAGAATGGGAAAGTGAGAAGGCAAGCCTCCAGGTCCAGGACTTGAACCATGGTTGGCCATGTGGGAGTCCAGCACCTTAACCACCGTGCCACCTGCCAGCCCCAAGATCTCAATTCTTAAAAAACTCTATCCTCCTTCTCAGGAAGAACAACCTGAGCACTGGAAATCAGGTGGGTTCGGGCAGCACTGGGCTCCTGTGCGCGTTCCAGCCAGAGTACAGCAAACTCA